GTCTGAGCCAGGAGAGTGCCCCGGCCATTGGACTTGAGGTCATGATCCAGTGCTACTGACGTTGGTGGAGCCATCCCATCGGGCAACTCCTAGCCTCTAAGCTTACAAAGGCTTGTCCTAGCCTACCTTGGCCTGGACGCCGCACGGGTTTCTTCCGTTGTAGAACTACCCCGTGACAGTTGGTATCAGAGCGAGCTAGCCAGTTGCAGCTGTAGTTGGTTTTCAGTAGATTAGCCCAGAGCCAGTTGAAGCGATCATTATGACAAGCAGCATTTTGTCAGGTGCGGTCCCTAGGCACTTCCACCCAGGATCGAGCAGATTTCAAATCAGGCCTGGCAAGAGGCCATTTCATAGTTCGTGTCCCCATTCCAATGACATTAAAACAGCTTCCCTTGCGGGGGCAGACGCATTGGTTGTTGTCCTCATGCGGGGGCAGACGCGTGAGCCTTGATAGGAATGTGGGTACACTGCCCGAGCAGATTGCTTATCAGGCCTAGCAAGAGGCCATTCAGTGTTCGTGTTCCCATTCCAATGACCCTAAAATAGCTTCCCTTGCGGGTGCAGACGCATTGGTTGTTGTCCTCATGCGAGGGAAGATGCGTGAGCCTTGTTAGGAATGTGGTTATGGTGGCCGTTGGAGCATGGCGGCCCTGCATCGGCATTGTATTCAGATGAACATGCTCAGTCTTCAGGTGGATCATTCGCAGCAGCAACAGTGCATCACATGGCGAGTGCATGTTCGGCAATTCATGGGTAAAAGTTGCCACCACTCGCGTTTGAAGCGGTCAGGTCTCCTTGAGGCAGCAACAGTGGGGCCCCCTCGGAGTGAAGATGTAGCCCGAGTCGGTGAGGCGAAACGTAGTTTCGAGGGCCCAGAGAGCATAAGCCATGGCTAGGTTTGAGTAACCCGAATCGGCAAGGTGAAGTCTGCAGGCCAGCATGGTGAAAGGGTACTTAGGTCATCGTCAACATGAGGAGTAGACCTATCAGCATGTTCGGTAGCATCACTGAAAAGCTACCAAGAAGACGGTCGAGCCTTGAGGTAAGATGATAAATGGGGCGGACCTCCACGAAACACCACACATATTTCTTCAAGGGCCCTTCTTTCACAGTTCAACGGCATAGCCATTGCGCAATTTGAGTAACCTCAACAGTGGGGGTGAAGTCCAGACAGGCCGGCATGGTGAAATGGTTCCGTCCCCATAAATGGACACCAACATAGGCAAGACCCAGGTTGACCAGGTGAGCCCTGGAACTGGTGAAGTGGATGGCGCGGGACACAGACGCCCATTCACAAGAAGACCATTGTCGAGGACGACAATGAATTGAGTGGGGGAGTCTGTTACGGTTCAAAACAAGCTTAACCTTGCCTACGCTTGGCAGGCTTACGTTAGGGACATGACCGTCATTTTTGCCTGTAAGATTTTTGGGAGAACTGATGTCATTTTCAGGCAGACCACCAAAAGCTTAACGTACTCTTTGAGGAAGGGTGGTCGACCTCCTTGGGTGCCTAACCTTGGCACTCCTAGACCATCATCCCCTTGCGGGGCGGCCCTGGTTAACGGCTAACATGGCTACCAGGGTTCCTCATGGGTGCACACTTGCTCATGGGGACAGTGTTGGACCGGCACTACGCTACCGATACTCAAGGGAGGCTTGGCATGCGGGCTTGGCTCAATCATGACCCTTCACCACGCCAGTCCCTTGCCCAAACTGAGTGAACTATCCCGTTGCCTCTAGCACACAGGTGTGTTTCGACCCAAGCGGTTGCCTATCATCATGACACACAGGAGCCTGTCATCATCGGCATACAGAAGACCCTTGACATCGGTGCCAAGTCACCTCATCGGCGCATGGTCGCCTTGCATTATGGTTGTCCCCCTTTAGCACGTAAGCAACGCCTCCCATAGACCGGTCTGAGCCAAGAGAGTACCCCGGCCATTGGACTTGAGGTCATGATCCAGTACTACCGACGTTGGTGGAGCCATCCCATCGGGCAACTCCTACCCTCTAAGCTTACAAAGGCTTCTCTTGACCTACCTTGGCCTGGACGCGGCACAAGTTTCTTCCGCTGTAGAACTACCCCCATTACACAAGGCCGCAAGCAACAAGCCCTTACCTTTTCCGCAACGGAGAACAGAACCCTTGCTGCCACCAAAACTGATCAACTGAATCARGCTTGTACCCTCAAGTCTGAACAAATTCGCATTCATTATGCAAGTTACTTTTCCACACTGCAAACAATAAAGAGACTAGACTCATCTCACTATCTCAGTGGATCAAGGCAAAGAAGGGTTTGGGATTAAGGAAGAGATTCCAATTCATTTCCTATCATTTTCATTACATTTCATAGCATAGCTCTCACAATATCAGAACCCTCGCTAAATTTCATATATTCTTACAAGCCTCTCTTTAGTATCCAAAGTTCTGAAACCCCAAAAAAGTATTAAACGGCCAAATTTACAGAGGAATGATCAAATAACCCTTGCAGTAATAACCCTACTAGCCAGAATCACTGGTGTATGATTCAGTTCAGCTAATATATAACAGGGAAAACCCTGACCTGATCAAGTATAGGCCCACAAAGGGACCCATAGTCATCAACCCTTGTGTGGTAAAATGAACTGAAGAATGTAATCCTTGTCCTGGCTCCAACTGCCTTGAATTTGAAACTAACAGCCTTGAAGCCACCTTTCCCCTTGGATTCAAAGGGCACCTTCAAGGTCTCTGCTCCTGCAAAAGCTTCAACCGACATGGACCCATGGCATCCGTTTCTTGCATCCCCAACCGTGAATGTGAGATTGTATAGCTTGTTGGGGACTGTTCTTATGACTTGGGCGATGGCACTTTCCTTCCCTGCAACAAGCTCTACTGCTGCAGATCCATATGGTACGTTGAAGTGAGCTGAGTCTATGAATTTCACAGCTTTCAGGGATTCGATGATCCACCCTGGAAGTGGGGATGTGGCATCCTCCTGTTTAGGTGGGAGCAGGACTCCATTGGTGGAGTTCTTCAGCAAATGAGGACCCTCTTCAAAACCGCCATTCCTGACCAAGTTATCTGCAGGAAACCATGGAAATGTTGATCAGAATAAGACGTACAGATAACAGGAAACAATTCTGGAGCCCTTCTGGATCAAGTACCCATTGATGTAGATCAGATGATCAAAACAAAACCAGACGACCATAGATTAGTACTTTACCTCTCGTGGGCATGGGAGGAAGCAGCTCTTTAATGGCGACTGCATCCAAGAGAGGCCCACAGGCAGGATCTTCCTGAACCCCTAGGTTGTGGAATATCACCTTGGCAAAGTTAGAGGTGGGTCTGAAGGCCCAAGCGTAAGTATCACCTCCATTGCTGCTGTAGAGTGTTTGGAGTGGGAGATCTCCTGACAGAGGAGGAACAGAGACCCTCAACACTTCATCTTGGGCACATGTCCTCGAAGAGCCGAATGTGAGGGAATAGAGAGAGCCTGGTTTAACTGGTATGGTTTGAGAGATTGAGGCCTCATTGCCCAGCCTTACGGCGTGGACGCCATGTACAACCGGGAAATACATGCCGCCTGGTTGCGGCCCGCCGGATATGTACTCGACCAGGCCATTGATTTCCCATTTGGGTAATGAGTACTTTCCCTGGATGACTGTTTTGTGGAGGGTGGATGGATTGGGTGGTTCTTCAAAGTTTCCATTTGGGAGAAGCCCTGAAAGGACAGTGAACAAGGATCAGCCAAAGAGAAGGAGAAAAGAGAGAAAAAGATTAACACCTCCTGTTAGAAATATGTTGAATCACAATATGAAAAGCAAATCCCTCAGAACTCAAAAGGTAAAATGGGAAGAAGATCTTCCATTGAACCATGGAAATCGCAGCAATCACAAAATGGAAAAAAAAAAGGTAGAAAGGAAACTAAAAAACCTCAAAAAGTAGCTTGGAACATCAGAATTAGCATAAAATTGCAAGAAAAAAAAAAGCTACTCAAACTCAGGTAAAAAAAAAAGCACTGGAGAAGAGACTTTTGAAACTCAAAAGTAGCTTAAAAAAACAGAAAAATGCAAACAAAAAGAAATCTTAGATCCAAAAACAGATAAGAAAACAGAGAAAATGCCCATCAGAAGAATGAGAAAGAAACAGGAAAATGGCACACAAAAACCCAACTCAACACCAACCTCAAAAATGAAAAGGGAGAGGAGAAAGGGAAGATGAAGACACAGAACAGAAACCCAGCAATCCAACTAAATAGAATACATTATAACATGAAACAGGAAAATGGCAAAGCCAAACCAGAAGCAGAGTATAGACTATAGAGTGGTACTTACCCTCTAAATAGGTAGCTGCAAAAGCAGGACCAGTGAGGAGCAAGGATGCAAGCAAAAGAGGGAGCAACACCGCCATATCCACACAGGAAAGCAAGGTAAGATAGGTCTCAGTCTCAGAATGGGTTTAAGATGGAAGAAACACAGAGCTTCAATGGTGCATTATATAAAGAGGGACAAAGAAGAAATGGGCAAACGAAGCTGGGAAGAAAAAAGCATAGCATATGCAGAAGATCACGTTGATGACCTATAAACGCGGTGCAGAGATTTGTCTGCTTGTCTCAGTATATCGTACCCACCTTTCCCCCATGATTCATGGCAGCAGCACGCACAGTAATCAAATGGAATTAATTTCTGCAAGTGGGTCCCATTGTTGCCTCCCTATTCTGAAGATAAATCTCACCGGTTGGCGTGATTTGCTGGGTTGGATCTCTGTGATTGGATCCATTGTAGTTAATTAGTTCTTGTTCATTTTTCATTTTTCCTCGTTTAAACTGGGGTCGTGAATTAAATGAGGGTTTGGCAAAGCTGTGTCCTGTGTCAGATTCTGCTGCGGAATTAAATATTGTCAACATGGATTTACACGCTTCTAATAGTCTATTTATCAAGTGGTGAATATTGTCCGTAATCTGGACCGTATAATCAGTTGGGTCCATCTGCGTGAGAGATTATCTCAAGGTGACTCGGCGTATCGGACGGTCAGAAATCCATCATATTGGAAGTGTAATACTACTGGCTCTTTCTCATCCTCCTTTTCTAATTTTCATGAGGCTTTTGTCGGAGGCCCTCCGACGACCGACGACCGACGGCGATTCAGCATCTCATCCTTAAAGGTGTCAAAAGGCGCACGTGTATGTGGTCCCACCTCATGACGTGTCCCACGTGCGGTGATATGTTTTTTTTCTTTTTTTTTTTTTGTTATAATGGTATTTCGTGCGGTCGGTGCGGTGATATGGATTTCTGGATTTTGTGATTTTGTATGGAAGCATTATGGGAGTCATGCACTCAAGGGATTCAAAGCTGACGTGGCGTCTGCCTGTGTGATTCAGTGATCGGTTCAATTCTTCCACCCGAATACAACTCGACCCGACTTCTTAAAATGCAGCTTCCGAACCCGACCAGATTTCACAAAAGCTGACGTGGTGTGTTGGCAACACAGTCTTTCAAATTAAATTTTTTATGATACCGACAGACAAGATACGAGAAGAGCACTAATTGGCTATTAGGTTTTTGATATCATCCTGTCTTTATGGTATCATAGTTAAATTATTTTTTATAATACATATTATATGCATAATAACCATTAATTTCAATTTGAATTTGATTTATAGGTTCCAATTTCCAAGGTACAATTTCTTTAAAAAAACTGAAATAAATATGAAAAGAAATTGTAAGCTTTAAGAGGGTTAAAATCATATAAATTTACAATATGCAAGGGTATTACAAGCTAAGCAAAAAACCCAAACCCACTTGGATTGGAAAACCAAAATCCTAATCCAATCCTACACCCACGCAAACCTAATCTTGACCCAACCCTATAAGGTCCGGTCAAGCCAGGTTTTTCCTTTAACCTGATTCATATGTCATGGGATTTGCTTCTCACAGAACGCGCCTCACGCTAATCTCACAGTCACATCCTACTTTATATTGGGAACATCTTCCCATAAATAATAGGTATTAATCTCACAGTCACGTCTATGTGAGGCGAACTCTACGAGGAGCAGATCCAGACTCAATTCATATGGCATTATCTCTTTAGACCATGGTTTTTAAAAACGAACCGAAAATAGAACCGGTTAGGGTACTGATTTTCAGTTAAGCAGTTCAACCATTTGGGTTGAACGGTTCAATCCATGACGTTATAAAAATAAAAAATATATTTATAAATAATAAAAATAACATAAAATTAAATAGAAAACAAAAAAATACAGAAACTAAAACTATCTAAATAAAAAATAATATAGTATAAAATACATAGAAAATATAAACATAAAATATAGAAAAATTTTAAAAAATACAGAAAAAACACAAAAAAAAATTCAAAAAAATACAGAAAAAAATAGCTTGAAATAAACCCTTAAATCTATATGTAAAAATCCGTGCAAAAAAAAAAGCATGATTTTGGGTTGTGAGAGATGTTTGGCTAAAGATTCTTCATTCGTGAAATGAAAGACCCATGGTTTTTAAAACCAGAACGGACTGGAAAAACCGGTAACCAGTCAGCCCCTTGGGTCCGGTTATACTAGAAACCGGAAGTTTGAAAAAATTGTGGAAAAGTCAAAAAAACCACTGACCCAGGCGGTCGGACCGCTAAACCGTTCGAGTCGGGCAGCGGTTCGCAGGTTATCTTTTTTTATTTTCACAATTTTAATTAAAAAAAAAACAAAAAATAAAATGACTTGAATCCCCAAATCAAAATCGAATGCTTAAGGCCCTTTAGGGTTAGAACCCATTTTCGTTCTAACCCTTCCCTTCTCTTAACCCTCACACCCAACCAACCACCTGCGATTGCTAGTACCTCCGGCGTCTAACGATGACACACACTGACCAACGATGAATAACGRCTACCGGCGACGACGAGTTTGCAGCACTTCTAGAGTTCCAGGCTCCAGTAGTAAGAGTTGTGGCAGGCAAGTTTGCAATAGCGGCCGATTTGTAGCAGTAGTCGACTTATAGTGGCAGACGGTGAGTTTGCAGCAGACAAACATTTCTCACAAATCATAACCCAAACTCACGAGTTTCAGCGAGTTTGTCCCCTTTTTTTTCTTTTGGAAAAACACCAGACCAAGCTGTGTGAGTTCTGGTTTAAGTGCCTTGCTAAGAAAAAAGACGATGAGGAATAGTGAGTTTGTCTTCTTTCACTTGTCTTCTTTAGCTTGCTCCAATATGTCTCTTCAGGCTACTTGTCTTGCTGCTCAATCTTTGTTTTCAATAAATCAATTTCCTCCTCAAAGGGGTCTTTCATTTCACGAATGAAGAATCTTCAGCCAAACATCTCTCACAACCCAAAATCATGGTTTTTCTACACCGATTTTTACATATAGATTTAAGGGTTTATTTCAAGCTATTTTTTCTGTATTTTTTGAATTTTTTTGTGTTTTTTAGAACTTTTCTGTATTTTATGTTTATTCTTTATATGTATTTTATACTATATTATTTTTTATTTAGATAGTTTTATTTTTTGTATTTTTTCTGTTTTCTATTTAATTTTTTGTTATTTTTATTATTTATTAATATATTTTTATTTTTAATTTATTTATGAGGTCACGGGTCGAACCGTTCAACTAGACGGTTGAACTGCTTAACTAGAAATCGGTCCCCTGACTAGTTCTGTTTCTGGTTCATTTTTAAAAACCATGGAAAGACCCCTTTGAGGAGGAAATTGATTAATTGAAAACAAAGATTGAGTTGCAAGACAAGTAGCCTGAAGAGATAAATCGGAGCAAGCTAAAGAAGACAAACTCACAATTCCTCATCGTCTTTTTTCTTAGCAAGGCACTTAAACCGGAATTCACCCAACTTGATTTGGTGTTTTTCCTAAAGAAAAAAAAGAGACAAACTCGCAAGTTTGGGTTGTGATTTGTGAGAGATGTTTGTCTGCTGCAAACTCGTCGTCTGTCGCAACTCTTACTATTGGAGCCTAGAACTCTGGAAGTGTTGCAAACTCGCTGTCGCCGGTAGCCATTATTCGAAGTTGGTTGGTGTGTGTCATCGTCGGACACCGGAGGTACTGGTCGCCGCATGTGGTCGGTTGGGTGTGAGGGTTGAGAGAAGGGAAGGGTTAGAACGAAAATGGGTTCTAACCCTAAAGGGCCTTAAGCATTCGGTTTTGATTTGGGGATTCAAGTCATTTTATTTTTTGTTTTTCTTTAATTAAAACTGTGAAAATAAAAAAAGATAACCCGTGAACCGTTGCCCAGGTCGAACAGTTTAGCGGTCCGACCACCCGGGTCACCGGTTATTTTGACTTTTTAACATTTTTTTCATATTTCTGGTTTCTAGTATAACCAGACCCAGGAGACTGACCGATTACCGGTTTTTCCGGTCTGGTTTTAAAATCATGATTTAGACTATAATATTACAAGAGTTGAGATTTATTACTAAAAAACTCTCTCAACAACATCTCAACAAGCTATTACAATCACACATCGCAACCTGCTACAAATAAAATTGCTCCCAACTGTCTTCTCACAGGCCACTGCAGCTGTACATCGAGAATATCTCCCTTATCATTCGGGGAAAGGGGTATTCCCAATACGCAGCTGTAGTGGCCAGTTGGGACATATTGAGAGTGTACTATTAGTAACAGATCTGAACTCATATACGACAACTTGACGAGGGAGATACTTCCAATATACGGCTGCAGTGGCTTGTTAGGACAGTATTGGGAACATTATATTAGTAGCAGACCCCGGCCTGTACTGCAACAATAAAAGTATAGCATTATGAAACTGTTTTATATTTAATTTACAGCAATGTCATTGAAATCTATCATTTGGGTTTGACCCATCTGAGTAACTCAAATTCATTACTCAAGTCACAAAAACGGTGCTTACACTATCCTCACAGTCCCTTACAACCATATATTGAAAATATCTCCAATCTCCCATCTGAGAGGGATTGAATTAAGATATGCGTTGTTGTCCACCAACGACTTTGGTGGACCAGCAGATTGATATTTGAGGGCATGTGGTATGAATTAATGAGAAGACCATTCTAGTGCAGTATTTGATATTGAAATTGATCAAGCAGCTGGAGACAAGGCACCGTCCAATTAAGCAACCAGTCAACAACCCCAGTTAGCTTGTATTTCAAGAAAAAAAAGAAAAAGAAAATCTGAGGCATCTATGGGGAATGGAGTGAACTGCCAATGGATAATGAATAATGACATTTAGTGTACATGGCACATGGGCAAAGAATGGAATCTCAGAACCATGTGGGCTTTTAGGCTATTTTTGGGTTAGGACTTTTAGCTGTAATGGATGCAAACATGAATTCCAATTAAGCATATGTTTTTTTTTTTTTTTATCAAAAAAACCCACTTGAATACAAATTTATTTCTTTTTTATTACATCTTATTATTAATATAAATATACATTGGTCTGTCCACTATAAGAAAAACAGCCAAAGGTGGCTGTCTAGAACCGGCATTCTTTAATACCACCTACAAGAGAAAAATGAAAGTTGGTCGGCAGTCCTATAGACTTGGCACGATGGTTTACATCTGAACTGGTACAAAACCTCATTATATTCTGGTCGACAAATTGACAAAACCCAACCCACAAAAACCTCTGCAA